CGAGCGTATGCAACCGCGGTTAATCTGGATTGTTGATCCTCGACCGCAGAAGACTGTACCTAACTGCCTGAAACATCAAACGTCATTAGCTTCGTTGTTTCGCAAGCAAGTAGTAAACTGTTCTATGGTTACGCCTCCTTCGGATAGGCCATCGTCGCTATGCTACTGAAGTCAAACCTGAATCGCTATAGTGCCTGAAACATTGAACATAATTGATCGAGAAGATTAGAAAGGTTACATTGCGGTGTTTGATGTGCGAGTGCGAGAGGGCCATATTTGGACATCAAATACTATTATTTAGTTAGATAGAGAACTTTCCAAGGGAGAAGTTCTCTATATTACTTACTATATCATATACATTTTTTGCATATTTGGTATATGTCATACCAGGGTCACCAGGGCGCGTATAACGCCGTGCTCGGAAGTGCAGTTCAATACAAGTGGTCCCTGTCCCACAGAGGGCGCTGAGTAAGTGAATAAGAAGCTGTTTTATATCCAATGCGACTGCGGATTAAGTGCTGTCGTTCTTCTTTCGAGTTTGCAGATGGCTTTGTCTCACTTGCTTCCAGTGAGCCTTTCTTGACCTTTCTAGGCTCAGAAGAATGCGAAGTCCGAAGAGAGATCATATGCTGTTGATAAGCAGTAGATAATAAGAACCTTATGCGTGTTCATGAAGAAGATAGGGAGCTATTTATCAAAGCCGAACTTGATGAAAAGTCGGTCTTGAGAATTGCAGGCTATATACGAGATCTTTGGTCTCTCCTCAATATCCAGTGTAATCTTCCCACTCAACCATCACGATATATGGGCTTTCTACAAAAAAGCTGTCGCATGTTTCTGGACTGTGGAGGAGGTCGGTCGTTGTCATTGTCATCGTTCGATGTGAAGTCTAGTTAGACTCCTGGTTCAGGTCGATCTTGCGAAAGATATGGCTGACTGGGAGAAGTTGGACGGAAACGAACGCTTCTTCATCTCTCGCGTTTTGGCGTTTTTCGCAGCTTCAGATGGCATCGTCAACGAAAATCTGGTTTGGATTTTAGTTTTCCATTAAGTTTTCACTGAATGGAAACCTATTAGCATCGCTGTTAAACTGAACTACTCTTTTAAAGTAGCAGGGTGGTTTTGACATGTTCCCCTTCCAATGATTTGTTTTCAGTGCAGATGTGAAGGGAGAAAACTGAACCTTTTTTTAAAGCTCGGAGCGTTCTTTTGCAGGCTGTCCATTGTGTTGTACAGTTTTTCTTCCTACAGTTTTTTGTTTTTAATCGAAATATTGTCCCCGCCAAACATTGTGCTAGACATGGACCGTGTGATGCCAACTTCTGGGACTATTAATTTAGAAAAGACGTTTTTGAACAAATTTGTTTGTTAGCTGACGAGCCTGCTACTAACGATTAATGTAGTTCGATGTCTCCTACCACGGTGGAATGTATCTGAAAAGTTGAAGGGTGCCAAGGTATTCCAACGCTGGCTTCTAGAGTACGGATCCTTCTTTGGTTCCACACTTTATATCTTTTAAGGTTTCCAACTTGATTGTACTGGGAAATCGAAGGTTTGTAAGGATGCTGAGCTGTACTCGTATGTTTTAAAGCTGACTATGAGACACTGATAGCATCGCGTTTCTACGTTGGATTTGACTTGTGACGTATAGGAGTTAGAAAGGTTCTACTAACATAGAAGGATACCATAGAGGACACAAAGATGTGCAGAGTACGAGAGAAAATACGGATATGAGCAAAGAAGACGTAACACAGTTGCAAAGAGAAATGAGCCTAAAAGTCCTACAGGCGTATTTGAAGTATACCATTCGATAGCCACAAATCATTAGATGTAGTCGCGATTGTTTATGTGCATATATATATATATATATATATATATATGTAATATATATAAGCGGATCGTCTAGCGCAGTACTCGGAGGCGCCCTGCAATACACATGAAATCGGTCCCTCTGCTCCAAGCTCACAAAGCCCTCTTTCCCTCCGGGATCGGCAAATTGGTACCAGATTTGTCTGGGAGGATGGCAGAACTGGTTTGATACATTGGTGGACCACGGGGCACCGCAAGTCATTGTGAAGACTTGATATGCATGCAATCGCCTCCGACGATACTTAATGAAGGCGAATGCAAAGCGCATCCTTCAGCGATCTATCAGCGCCGGAAGCTTTACTGAGTTTTATACATATGTTGATGTAATTTTTTACCTGAGGGGTTGTATTTTTAGGTAGAACGATTCTCGAAAGAAGTCCAGGTTCCAGAAGCTCGATTTTTTTACGGCTTCCAAATCGCCGTGGAAAATATCCATTCGGAGATGTACGGAAAGCTCATCGAAACCTACATCCGCGATGAATCTGAGAGGTAGGATTACTTGAAGTTGTATATCTGCCAGTGTTTCGTATGTCTGCCGAAATATTTAGACGAACTCTTTTCAATGCAATTTTCGAGTTTCCGTGCATTGCGAAGAAAGCGAATTGGGCCCTTCAGTGGATTGCCGATCACAAGGCTCCTTTCGCTGAGCGCGTCATCGCTTTCGCTGCAGTAGAAGGTATAGTTCCAATTTTTATTATACTGCTCAACAAACGTTTCAATGTATTTAGGTATATTTTTCTCCGGTTCGTTCGCTGCTATATTCTGGTTGAAAAGAAGAGGACTAATGCCTGGGTTGACTCACTCGAACGAATTAATTTCAAGGTATGCTAAGGACACAAGGTGGTTATGTTTCTGATTTCCATTGTTTATGTGGACACTATAGAGATGAAGGTCTTCATCGTGACTTTGCTTGCTTGATGTATTCCCATGTGGTTAACAAATTGCCGCAGGAACGAATTTATAAAATCATCAAGGAGGTTGTGATTATTGAGCAGGTTTGTTCGTTGTTTGGTGGTGATGTGATGTTCGAGACCTTGGAATTCCTCTTGAGTTATGTAGGTTAGGAGGAAGGATGGTTGTAGCATTTCAACATTTACACTGCATTACACTGACGGATGTGGTTGTCCATACTAAATGAAATGTGCTGAGTTGACCAATGTTTTGTTCTCATCCGTGGGTAACTTGGTTTTTGAAAAATCCTATTTTTCCTTCGATACACCGTTGTAGGAATTCCTGACGGAGTCACTGCCCGTGGATATGATTGGAATGAACTGTCGTCTGATGTCTCAGTACATAGAATTTGTTGCAGATCACTTGCTAGTTGAACTTGATTGTGAGAAGGTTTGTCTACGTTTTGAGCTTTGTTCCTCACTCATATGAACGATTTTTATTCACGGCTGTGTGTGTTACCCATTGCTTTTTTCTTAAGTTAAGTATTTAGCTCTACAAGGTGAACAATCCATTTGATTTTATGGAGAATATTTCCATTGATGGGAAAACAAATTTCTTCGAGAAGAAGGTATTCTAGCCATTTTTGTTCATTCTCTTCATTCACATGTACTCATCCTTGGTTTAGGTTTCCCAGTACCAGCGTCCTGGTGTCATGAAGACAGAAAACGACAGGTAGTTCCAGCTAGTTGCCGATTTCTAGCAATCGTTGCTTTCTATATTAGGTAGCAGTCACTGTGAATACCTTTTATTTTGTTTTTTCCTTCTTTTTAATGTAAAACATTGTGTGATGCCCACTATAGGTTATTTTTGTTTTGTTTTGTTTTTCTTTTTTTTGTCATGGAAATGCTTGTATAACGATCATCGTTTTCTTTCTGTAGTGGACCACACTGTACATGTTGCGCGAAGTGATCCCAACTTTATATGAATACCAAGTTGTAGATATTAGTCCTTGTAGCTGCCACGCGAGACTTTCTCCGTACCTGTCGTGAACAACCTTGAGTTTGGGTT